TAGTCAAGGTTCCAAAGAGACAGAACCAAAAGTGTAGATATAAAGATACCCGAGAGGGGATTTATGAGGGAAATCAGCTCATGTGATTATAGAAGCCGAGAGCTCCCGTGATGCTGTAGCTAAAGACCCTGGGTTTCTGGTAGCAGGTCTCAGCCTAAGTCTGAAAGCCTCAGAGGTGGGGAAGCTGATGGTGCAATTTTCCACCTACAGCCAAAGACCTGAGAACCTGAAGGGCCACTGGTAAGTTCTGGAGCCCATAACCAGACAGCCTAGAGTTCTGATGTCTAGAATAGGAGGACAGTGTTCTAGCTCCAGGAAAGAAAGAATCCTTTTCTGTGTGAGTCCCCAGCTGAAAGGATTTTAGCCAGCCCCTCTGGGGGCAGATCTCCCTCACTCAGTCTATGATTAGCAAATAGGTAGCGTGACTATAAGGTGTTGGCCCTGGGGCAGGGCCTTGGGAAAAGGTGCCCAGAGGCAGGGAGGGTCTTCCAGTGGAGAGGCTGTGAGGTGGCAGTTGGTTTTCTGTCCAAGGCTGGTGTGGGCATTTGCAAACCTCTTACTCGTGAGAGCTCTCCCGTCTGTCTTAGGTGGGGGCAGAGAAGGGTGGGTAAGGGTCACTCCAGGCATTCCATTAGTGTAGGTGACACTTGTCTTCCTTCCCACCAGACTCCGGGGGATGGCATCTGGTACTCAGCCAGGCATGAAGTGGGCCAGCTTCAGACCATGACAGCCAGATGTTGTTTGCCACTGATGCCATGGTAACCTGCTCAGGTGCCCTGGGCAGTCTCTGCAGCTTTTATGTGGCCTTGGCATTTAGGCCTGTGCTTACCTGCTTCGAGGCAGGCTCCTGTCTTCATCGGGAGCCAGGTGGTCAGGGCTCGTGAGATGCATTATCCATATGATGGTGAAACTTCTGAGGCTAAGATCAGTCTAATGTGAACAAGTATGGGGAAAACAAGATAGAATGTTTGAAATTGGGCTCCAGTGGAAAGGCCAAGCCACCCTCTGCCCTGGGAGTCATGAACCGGTCTTCATAAGGGGCCCCAGGCTGGCCATGCTGCAGATTCGGGTGGGGCTGGTTAATCCACTCCAAACTGAACTCCGCAGGAGCCACGTTGTGGCTTCTCCAAGGCATCCTGACTTCCCATCATCTTATTTTGGGCCAAATGAAGCCCTTAGCCAGTGGTTACCTGGTCAGTGTGGCATTTGGGAAATGTTACCCAGTAACCTGGCATTGTGGATCGTGTGGCTGATTTGTGGAGAATCTCTCACTCTGCCCTGTGATTCGGATATAAGCCTAGACTTAGTCCCGGACCTCAGCTAAACCAGAAAGCTGAGGAGTGATGGCCCCTGGCCTGCCAAGATCCCAAGGGTGGACACATTCCTTCCTGTTTCCCAGATTTTTTTTTTCCTCATAAAAGATTCCCTTCCCTTTAAGTGTGTGTACACACACACATTCACTGCACACACGCATATGTGCACACATGCATGCACACGTGGAACCATACAAAGCTAGGTACACTTTTTTCCTGATAATTTCTTCTTTTCCAGGCAGGGGCATCAATATATTTGAATCATGGGCTGACAGTAATTAAAAAGCACGTAACTAGTCATTTTAAAAAGCAGTTGTTTTACTTAATTGATTTTGCCGCCAGACTCAGGAGAAAGTACAGGGTAAAGGAAGCTTTAGAAAGGGAGACAAGTTTCCGAGAGTGACTGGAGGCAGCTGAGGGCCCTGCTCGAATCTAATTGCTGCAAATGCTGCCATTTGTTTCTGCTAATGGTTTTCTGCTGAAAGGGCTGGGGACGAGGCACATCCTCACTGATTGGAGGGGGGTGGCATTTGTTTCAGCTGCATGGGGGGTATAATTCTGCTTTCAGGACAGGTTCTATTTTTCCTTACTATCTATCAGCATAAAGTACTTCCACTGAATGCTTTGAATCAAGGTTCCATTTAGAGATACTTTATTCATATTTAATTACAGACTGCAGCACCGATCTTTAATTACCTTTTTTATAAGCCAGCTAGGAACATCCACTAGCAATCAATTATTTTGTGTGTGTGTGTGTGTGTGTGTGTGTGTGTGTGTGTGTGTGTATGTGTGTGTGCTTGCGTAAGCACAGGGGGGGTGTGGGCGTGGGACTTGCTTCCAGCTAGAGAGGGAACCGATGGCTTCAGGGATGCTGTGGGGTGCTGCGGTGGGGGAATCTGGCTGACTGGTGCCCTGGGCCAAGGGAATGGTGCATCCTATTATGCACTGTGCTTCTCTTTGCTTCCACTGGTAAAATTGGGAATTTGCTCAGACCCTCACAGCTGGGCCTGGCTCAGGGTGCTGACTTGGCAGCTGGACTTGGGCTCTCCTTGATCCCCTAATGGGGGCAGGAAATTGTGGGAGGCACCCTTCCTGTTCCCCAGGGATATGGCAGACTAGGCTTCCTGTCATTCTGGAGATTGAGATCTGCTTGCCTCAGCTCTTTCCTTCTTCCTCTTCGCTGGGGGTGCTCTTGGCAGCTGTTCTTGTCACACAGTCCTAGCGATGTCATGTCACTCTTTGGTTGCAGTGACTCAGCAATGTCCCTGCAATGACAGGGCTTTGAAGACTGATTGTCCTTCTCTGACATGGAACAGGTGTTTCTAGGGCCAGGCAGAGGCTCGGAGTGAGGCGTGAGGTCAGAGGACCCCCAGGCTCCTTTGCTGTAGGAAGATTAGGCCATTCTGTCTGCTTGGGGGTGAGGGTCACCATTCACAGCTCTGCTCCTTGGTGGTCCTCCACCAAAGTTTCCACATTAACTCGTGTGGATCTTACTGTGTAGTAGCTGGGAACATTGCTGAAGCTCTGCCTTCCCTTCTGTTTCTGAATTCCTGTTTCAGCAAGAGGGTGGAGGTGGGGGTTGGAACTCACACTTATTGAGTCTTAGGGCTCTGGGCCCCTTGTCCGTGGAGCTTTTATTTATCTCACTTGGAGCCTGGGAAAGGTACCGTATCAGTCACAGTTATTTAAACTGTGACTTAAAACTGAATGTGACACAAAACTGAAATAGATTTATGCAAATCTAAAAAAGGAATTGTAGGGTGGGAACTCAGACATGGTTAGGTCAAGGGGTTGAAACTTTGTAATCATGCTTTACTTTGTTTCTTGACTCTTTTTTTTTTTCCTTTGTAGCTACTTTGTGCCTTTGGGCATGCCCAGGCTCACATTTTTCTGTTCAAGTTCAATACAAAGAATTTCTGGCCGGGCGTGGTGGCTCATGCCTGTAATCCCAGCACTCGGGAGGCTGAGGCAGGAGGATCGCTGTGAGTTCGAGACCAGCCTGGGCTACACAGTGAGTTCCAGGTTGGTACAGTCTCAACTACATAGTGAGACCCTGTCTCAAAAAAAAAAATGAAAAAAAAAAAAGAATTTATTTTCCCAAATTTAAAAATAAATGCAGAAAAATTGAATCTGATTGGACCAGTTGGGTCACATGCCCATCTATGAACCAATCAGGATGGGCAGGGGCATTCCATATTCTGATTGCCCAGGCTTACCAACCTGGAAGAGTGAACCCCTCATGCCTGATGTGTAATTTCACTCTTTTGAAAGAGTACCCGTTTGTGGTGTTTGGGTTAGTAGGAGCATGGAAACAGGAAGCCCTAGCTGTTTCAAAGATAAGAGAAAGTTGATTCAGTTCTCCAGCTGAGAGAGTAGTGGATTTATTCATCCAACAAATATCTCTGTGACACTGACCAATTCCAGCCCTGTTCTAGGTACGGGGAATTCAACAGTGAACGGAACAGACAGAAATCCCAGCTTATTTGGAGCTGATGTTCTCATGGGGTTTATGGGGAAAATGGTCCTGGTGTTCTCACATCCCAAGTCCAGGGCCAACCAAGATCAAGGGTTTTTGTGCCAAGAAATAGCTGAGCTCCTCCCATCTTATAGAATATTCATATTAGGATTATGCAGTTATGACTGCTCCAGTCAGAAAGGATTTCCCCCTCAGGAAAATTGGTATGGCATTTCCAAGAGAGGAGGAAGGAAGGAAGGAAGGAAGAATGGATGGAAAGAAGGATGTATTTTCTACTTCATAGGGAGACAAAAGATTCCCAGAAAGGGCAGGGGGGTCTACCCAAGCAGGAGAGGTCTGGCTGACAGCCTTGGCATCTCTTCCAGGGTGGCCAGGCCAGGAATAGCCTCAGGAGCCCATACTGAGGCTGCTACTCAGGCAGGAATGAAGTTGGGTTTGGAACCTCTGGCTCAGGGTTCTTGAGCTTCCTGGTTGGCAGAACTGGAATGTCTTTTATTTGATCTTGTGGGCTGCTGAGGATGCAGTTGTATTAACTTTTAATTACAACCATGTGGGGCCAGGGGTTTAGCTCAGTGGTGCCACCACTTGCCTGGTAAGCACAAGGTCCTGAGTTTGATCCCTGGTACCAAAACAAAGCAAAACAAAAAACATGATACAACCATGCTTTGATATTTGACTGCTTTGAAACCCATCAAATTTGGTGCTCTACACATTTTGATATGAAGATTTTGTCCCAGTACTCATTGCTTGTTTGATACTTGACACGTGAGCTAGAACTTACTGGTGTTGATTGCCTCATGATTGGCTGCCATTTCCAGCCAAAGCAATTTGGTACTCTTCATTTTTGGTACTCATTGTACCTCTCAGAGCCAATTAACAACAAGTACTGAGTTAGGTACCACTGTATCTACATGTGAGAGCCCAGAAGAGACAATGGTGGGTAATTAAATAGGCACATGGTGCACAGTTCTGAATATTCTAAAGAGCGTTTCTGTGGCCTTTGATGTGTGGGGATGTGCCTTCTGTATGCGTCTTTTGTTGCAGCTCCTGCATAAGCCCAGAGTGAATCTCCACCATAGCAAAGGGGCCAGCCAAGGCCCTGGGTTGGCACACACCTGATAAAAGCAAATAATATGTCATGCATCTTCCTGGCCCCCTCTCACTGAGTGGTTATTTTCTCCATTTCTCTGTCCTCTCTCCACTCTTGACAGCTCCACGATTTGTTTTTGAGCTTTGACGACACCCCTCTGGGAGCAGCCTCCCTGGCCCAGGTCCACAAGGCGGTGCTGCATGATGGGCGGACGGTGGCTGTGAAGGTCCAGCACCCGAAGGTGCAGGCACAGAGCTCAAAGGACATTCTCCTGATGGAGGTGGGCAACCCCCTTTTCTCTTTACCTTGTCCTCAATCTTTATTTCCCTGGGATCCAGATGGCCTCAGTGACACCAGCTGAGGCTGCTGGATAAGTGACCCCTTAATCAGCAGAGTGGGAGAGGAGAGTGGAGACCACAGGTGAGCAGTGTCATGACAACTTCCAAACACAGCACATGGCAGGGTTGGTCAGCTCTTTTTGAAAAAAAAATTTATTTTAATTTAACACATGTAGATATTAATAAAGAAAATAAAAAAATTCTATAAAAAACCACAAAATTTCATAACAAAATAAAGGATAACAGTAGTTAATATGATGTGTACCATAATCTTAAAAGAACTGCCAGAGTTATGGAGAGTACAAGTCATAGACAAAAAAAGACTGTCTTTTGCAAAAAGTAAACAAACAGATAATAGCTCAAAACTTTCTTTTCAGTGAATGAAGAGAAACTAGTAGTAACAAATTACCGTATATAGTATATTGAAATATTTTTGAAGCTATGGAATAGAGAATATAGGGAATTATTTGAACTTCTTTACTTTCTGTCTTCTATTTTGCTCTTTATTTATATAGGTATATATTTTATTATATATATAAATGTATACATATTAAAGTATGTATGTACATATATATATGTATATATTTTATTAAATTTGGAGTTTCTCATATAAGAGAAACTGTGCTATATTTTTTTCCCATTTAAGTTTATTGGTACATTTAAAGCAAACAATATAGTTGCATTTATCATTGGGATCTTGTACCTTTACATGATATGTCTTGGTTCTTATTTTTTCCCCATACCCTTGCCCTCCCTTCACCCTTCCCTATTTACAAATACTTTGTTTTCATTTTTTTCACATTTTTTCTTTTCCCTTATTTCCTTTCCCCTCCCCTTCCCACAACCATGCCGTATTTAAGCTTGTGTGTCTGACTTATTTCGCTTAACATTATGTTCTGTAGTTGCTCCGTTTGCCTATAGATGCCTCAAGTTTATCTTACGTTATGTCAGAGTAGTACTCCGTTGTGTATAAATACCACATTTTCTTTATCTCGTCATCTGTTGATGCTCATATAAGCTATTTCTAAGATCTAGCTATTACAAATTGTGTGCTGTAAACATGGATATACATATATCCCTGTAATACTATGACTTCAACTCTTTTTGGACGATACCTAGAAGAGGGATAGCTGGTCAAGTGGTATTTTTATTTTTAGCTTTTTGAGGACTCTCTATACTGATTTCTATAGAGGTTGTACTAGTTTACATTCCCACCAACAACACAGAAGAGTTTCTTTTTCCCCACATCCTCACCAGCATTTGTTGTTATTAGAGGTTTTGATTATAGCTATTCTTTCTGGGGTAAGATGGTATCTCTGAGTAGTTTTAATTTGCATTTCTCTTATAGCCAGGGATGTTGAATGTTTTAAAAATGTGTTTACTGGCTACCTGTACTTCTGAGAAGTATCTATTCATTTCAATCGCCCATATTTGTTTAAGTCTTTCATTTTTGGGGAGTCTAATTTTTTGAGTTCTTTATATAGTCAAGATGTCAGGGTTGGTCTGATCTTGATTTTTTCCTGGGAACCCTCTGGGATGGTCTCAGAACATGCTGAGCAGTTGTTGGGGCCAGGGGGACCTTAGTAGGGGATCTTGTGAAAATGAGGTGAACCAAAGGTAATTTCTTGAAGGGTTGGAAAAAGTTACATGATAATTAACTAAATAATAAAAGACAGCATGTAGCTGCAAGGGATGTACAAAAGACATGCAGATCACATAGACTGTGTGTTTGCTTATCTGACATTTGTTTTTAATGAACACATTTACCTGCCAGAAAATGGCCCTGGGCAAAGCCCTGGAGGCTCCAGTGTGCCTCCAGAGTCTTCTAGCTCCATGCCTCGGTTGGTTGAAGCAGTAGAGGATGAGGCCCCCCCCCCCAATAGTTGGCAGGGAGGTCAGCAGTCTATTCACCTTACCAGTTTGTCCCTTTCATTCCTCTGTTCCTTCCCCTGCTCCTAGACTCTTAAGTTGACCTTTTCATCTCACTTTCAACCAAACACATACCTGTAGGTCTTTTATTCACTATGTGCTAATAGGGTGCTGGGGACACAAGAAGGAGGGATGTTCACATTCTTAGGGAGCTCCCTGTTTGGTGTAGGAGACAGGTATGTAAACAAACAACTACAGAGAGGGGACTTGAACTCTGCCAAAGTTGCAAAGGGCTTGGAGCACTGTATCTGGATGGATGGGCCAGTAGCAGGGCTTCACTGAGGAGGTGATATTTGAGTGGAATCCTTAGGACCCCGGGGGAGGGCAGCCCAGGATGTGTGAAGGGTGGGTCTTAGAGGAACTGGGTATATGTGGAGAACTTCAGCTCGTTTTGATGGCTGGGAGTGGGTGGAGATGAGGCTGGGCAGGTAGACAGGATACACAGAGGGCTCATGTACAAGTTGCAGCACAGAGCAGGGTACTTAGTCAACTCTCAGCACGTATCTGAGACGGAACTATCTGATTTTTTCCTGTAGTCATTGGGGAACCATGTAAGAATTTTAATCAGAGTACTGTCACAATCAGATGTGCATTAGAAATAAAAATCTATTGGTAGTCTGGAGAACATATTAGAAGGCAGAAAGATCATAACAAAGAAACTAATTGAGGGGGTCTGAGGGAGACTGGTCTAAGGGAGAAATAAGGATGTGAAGCAAGGCATTATGCTAGGGTGGAGGAGAGGGATGAGCTCAAGTTGTGGAATCATCTGGACTTGGTGAGCACCTTTACCTGGGAGGGGAAAGGACTGGTATGGATGAAGAGGAGACTGAAGTCTATCCTGGGTTTCTGGCATGAATGATTACATTTGGGTGACTCTTAACTGTGTGTATGAGCCAGGGTACTGTTGAGAAGAAATTGCCCTGGATAGGTCAAACAGAGGGAATTTAAAACAGAAAACAGTGTTTACAAGGAGTGGGATTGCTGAGACCCTAAATAGGATGGTGAGACAATTACCAACAGCAGAAAGCCACTGCCACCTTTATGGAGGAGGGACAAAGAGGAAGGACAAAGAGAAGAAGTGGTTTTTCTGGAGCTCAGGAGCTGAGAGCAGCTGGTGGGTGCTAGGACCAAGGTGAGTCTGCCTAGTGGAGTTGGATCATAAGTGTAGGGTCTGGGTGGAGCCACAAATGTGTTTTGAGACAGAATTTTTCAACACATTGGGTCTCCCTGTATTCCACTACCATTGCCCATTGGCTACACCTACTAGAAGCAAGTTGGTAGGGAAGCCTGGGAAATGTAGTTTGTTATGAGAATCAGGGCATTGGGGGTGGATCTGATGCAAAGTGAAATAGCCAGTGGAGCAGCCACCTGGGGTAAGATACTGCTGTTGGTAGTTTTGGTTAGAAGTATCCCTGTCACTCTGAAGTTCAGGTTGGAATATGCATTTAGGATTTATGATCAAGGATACTCATGGTTGCTGAATCTGAGGGAGTGGTTGAGCTTACTTGGAGGAAGTGTTTACAGTAATGAGAGGGTGGCAGGTCAGAGGTATAGGGGGCATCATTATTTGGGGAATGAGCTCAAGAGGATAAGTTCCTGAGGTGCTGGAGGAGGATTGAAAAATACCCCTATGTCTGATGAAAAAACATCTAAGAAGAGGATACGGTATTGGTTATCTAATGGTGTATAATGAACCAGTCTCAAAACTTAGTGGCTTGAAGCAATAGCTGTGAGTTTTGCTGGTGAATTTGTACTTTGGCTAGGGCTTGGTCAAGAAAGTTGCGTTTTATGCAGTCCTAGGGTACAGAAAGGATGGCTTGACTGAGGCTAGAGGGTCCCTTTCCAATGTAGCTCACCTGCATGGCTGGCAAGCTGGGGCTGGCTGTAGTCTGGGAGCACAGTTAGGTCTGAGGGCCAGGCCTTACTTCCTCTCCATGTGAGCCTCCACTTGTGGGCTTCCCCACAGCATGGTGTCCCCTTAGAATGAAGTTGGAAGTACGTTATGGTTTTATGAACTAGCCTTGGAAATTACAGAATTACTTCTTCCCTCTTCTACTGGTTGAAGTAGTCACAAAGGCCCTTTTTGTCCAGGGCCTGAGAAAGAGATCCTCCCTTTTAATGAGGGAATGGCAAGGTTCTGGGAACGTATTAACCTGGGAGTGTTTTTGCAGCCATTTTGGAAAATGGAATATTCCAGAATTGCTCAATACTGAAATGGGTGTTCTGGATTTGACAATTTAAGAGTCGTTAGGAAGAGCAGTTGCAGTGGCATGAGATGGGTGAAAGAGAAATGAGACCAAGGAGGTATAGACACTGAATATGGGTGCTCTTGTCCAGTTTTAGCCATGGAAAGCTTGGGAGATTAAGAGAAGAGCTTAGGCCTAAGTGCTGGGAGGACTTGAGCAGGATTGTTGCTGATGGGGAGGTGAGGATTGGAGGTTGAGCAGAGAAGTAACTACTGGGTCAAGTCTAGGAGGAGATTCATGAGACTGAGCACAGTTAACACAGTGGAGGCATTAGCCTTTGATGAGCCTTTACTTTGAGCCTGGAGGATGGTGGAAAGGCGGGGCACAGATGAGTGAGTGGGGCATGGAGAGTGGGAAAGTGGGCAGCCGAGTGTGTACCAGCCTGATAGCCTCTATTTTTTCTCTGCAGTAGGAGGCAAGACCATCTGTCGAGAATGAGAGGGTAGGAGGTGGCACTGGAGGCTTGAGGGGGTGAAGGTTTGGAATAGCTGCTGTATGCCTTGCAGAAGGAACTGCTAGGGTAAGGAGGGTCTGAATGCCTGGCGAGCTAATTTTTTAGCAAACCTGTCAATAAGTATGGAATGGCTGTAGCTGGGAGTAAAGTAGGGTCATGGGGGATACCTGGGTTCAGGCAGGAACCTGCCATAGCCTAGCAATGCATCAGGGTCCCAGGGGCTGGGAGGACAGCTGCTACTCTTTCTGCTCACAGTCATGTCAGCTTCCTAAGTACTGGTATATGAGGTCAATAGCAATAGTAGCAGTAATAA